ACCAGGTAGCACTAGGGTCCTTACTGCAGCATTACCTAAGCCACCGCGCTGTAGCAATGCGAGGTACGAAAGCTACTGGGCACAGAGGGAGCTCCCAGAGGAATCCCAAGAGATTCTGGGATCAAGAGATTGGGATCGTGGAGATCCCAAGAGAAAGGCCCATCCCAACAGACTTCTGCCTCCCTCATGCTCCCTCCTTGGCCCTTACTGGGGGCCCCTGCTGTCATTGCACACCCTGAAAATTCTGCTTATTGGCAACGACCAGTGCCCAGCCTCGCAGAAATCAATCCACAAGAGTCCCAGTGAATCAGAACTGCTGTGAAAACACATGGGAGAGCAACTCTCTCGCTCTCAACCCTAACTGGCCAGTAGACAGATCAAGTGTCCACTCAAAATTCCTCCTTATTCTCTTTCAGTTATGGCAGAGAACGTTACTAATGAAGTCCTGTCTGCCAAAGGAGGCGGTTTATTCCAGCAGATAAAGTGAGAAGCTGAACTTGGCAGCATGACACAACAGCAACCACATTTTCTTCAAAGCGCCAACTCTCTTCACTTGTTTGATCTACTATTATTGAGGGCAAATGCCTTTCAAGTTCCAGAAATGGTCAAACTGAAAACACAGACTTAAAAAAAAAATCTGGAAATCAACTGCTGTGATTTTCAAATTGGTGGCAAGTCTGCAAAGTGAATTTAACTTCTGAAAAGTGGACGGCAGCAACACCACCTCTTTGGGGACTAACATCCCACACAGACACTACTGTAAACCCATGTAAACCCCTGGTGCAATGTACTGCAAGTATCTGTGTTCTCTTTCCCTTTCCCAAGCACATGGCATATCATAAAATCTCCACACAAACTCCAAAACACCTTATCAAACAAAAAGGAAAGTTTGCAAAACAGTTATCACAAAAATAAAAAGTAACTGAAACTTACAGTTCTACTTTCACATGTTAATTCCCTACTGCTTACGAACAGCAGCAAATACTATCCTACATCTATAGCCAAAAAAAGTCTGACACATACCCAAAAGATCTACACATATTACACCTCTGCATATCTTACCCAATCTCCTGACCATACTCTCTTAAAAAAGACCCCTAGTTAACAATATAGTAGTAGAACTAGTGCTGCATTTCACATGTTCAGCTTTAATTGCCCAAGGTTTTCCACCAACTTAGTAACAAGACAAAATACACACGTTCTACATAAAACATGACCTTCAGATTTTTTTCTGTCTGTCCAGCTATAAAGAGATTTTTATATCTTTTTCTCCTTGAAGAGAAGCATTTCTTACAAACTGTAAGACAATAAATAATACTTCAAAATCTCACACTATTTTTATTGGTTTATCGTCTCTTCCTTCCTTCTCTTTTGCTTCATTGCTGGATAAAACGCACAGCCAGGTGAAAACAGTCTGTATCGGCTGAAAGAATGAAAGGAACTCCACAGAAAGTGCTGTCAAGGCCAGAGCAGAAGCTGTTAGTTTTCTCAATGTTCGTTTACTGCTTTTGAGTAATGGTACATGAAGCTTGCAAACTAAATTGATTTTACGTTCACTTACAGCAACTCCTACTAGAATAAAATCCATGTATTTTATTTTAAAATACATGTTTTCATATAACAGGTAATTTAAGAATTTTTTTTTCTGCACAAATTATTCTGCAGACGCTCTGAAAAAGAATGCAGCATTGTCCAAAAGAATAAAAACCAACTCACTTCACAACATGAAATATAAATTTACAAAAGAATTCAGTGCAATGCCTGCCATAGTTAAAGATTCAAAATATCTTACTCTATTTAACATATTTATCAATATAGTATTTTATTTTTATAAGATCTCAATAACTGAATGCATAAAATGAGGTAACAGGCATTACTCTAAGGAAGTAGCTAGATGAAAATCATGTTTTTAATGAAACAATATCCACGTGATGACTTAAAGAAGGGAGAGAAACACTGAACTTCAAAAAAAGCCTGTATTTTTGAAGATTGAAATATTAACATTCATTCTACCAAATTTAAATACCTAAGACATACCCGACAAGTTGAAGGAACAGCAGTTAGAGGTACTGGTCTCTAATATAGACAATGCAATAGCCCTGTTTGCATCTTCTCTTCAACAAATGAAGTTTGCAAATTAATCTTCCAATTTCCAATTGTAAAATAATCATTCTATCAAGCAGGTCATTTTTAATATCTCTTATTTCCAATTGTACTGGAGATTAAAAAAAATCATTTGTATTGGGGAAAAATGGGTCCTGTTTTCAAAGCAGATGTACTCAGTGCTGTCTGCACTTGAAAGACACAATGCCCTAGTAACAGGCATAGAAAGGACTGCAAATGGTATTCAAAAAATGGGACAGGGCTGAAGACTTAAAGATGATGGCATGTCTTTTTACACAATTATATAGGGATTTAATGAAAGCTGAGAGTTAATCTAAACAAGATATTACATGGCTCAGACGGTTCTTCAAAGGCACCCTAAATGGAATTTTACAGCTTCTCCACCAGCCCAATTATGTCATCACTTGTTTCACTTGCATTTTTCCTCCCTACTTTTCCCCTGGCCAAGTTTAGAACTTCAGGATGTATCAGTATCTCTTATAAACAATAAATACACATGTGTTTCACCCTAGTTTCACTTGTAAGCGTATTTACAGCAGATCTGCTCTTTAAACATTTTGGTGCTTATAAATACATTCCCCTCTACCTCCTGCAAAAGGGAAAATAACCTACCAGCCACAAGCTCTCCAGAGAGCTCTGAGCAGAGGCTTTCAATGGCACAAAGATAAGGGAACACCGATGTGTATCGTGCACTACATTCTGGAAGCAGCAAGATCCAAGCTCCAGACAAAAAATAATTCCAGAGCCAAAAGGACAATACACAACATCTTGATACGAGGCTCCCTGAGGTGGAAATGGCTACGTCACTTTTTTTGTTGTTGTTTTACAGAAAGACACATCAGGAGAAGGTGCCTCTCTCGTTCTGCACTGAGGCAGGTTTGTCACAACTGCAACACAAAAGGAAAAACAAAAGGTCTCCATTTAACAGTAGAGAGTCATATCCTGCTCTATGTCAAGCATCTAAATGATTTTCCAACTGTAGCTAAACAAAAGTAAAGTCTACCTGGAGATGACATAGGATAAAGGCACAACGTGCACGGGAGAAGAAAGGATGTGATCTCTGGCCAGCCAAAGAACAGAGGAAGAAGGCATTTCTGGCTATTGTTACCCTGTAAAGCTTGAATGTTCTGGTAAAAACCAGCAGGCACGACATGTGCTCTGAAAAAAGGAGGAGAGTCACATGCTAGATGCAATTTTTCAAATCACTTTCAATACCAACAATGATTCTTCTCAACTGGAAGCCCTTGGAAGATTTTTATATACTTATGAAAAGACGAGAAGGAAGATCGATGCTCCAGTTTAGAAAGACTGAAGCAAATAAAACAAACTTCCAGGAGGACTATTAGTAGCATCGTGGTGACGCTGTGGGCTTTAACACCTCAATCTGTCTTCCACCACTTGCACATGCTTATTGACTAGAAACATAATCAAAATGGAACAGTGTTGGGACTTGCCTTCTCGCACTCCTGGAAGACAAGCTGCTACTCATTATAGCTCCCTGGCATCTCCGGGAGAAGTGATGAAAGCCACTAAGGCAGTCAACGCCTCAGGATCAACATAATCAAAGACTGCTGATAGAGCTGGCATTTTCAATATTAAGAACCCAACCTCTCCCACGAACTTTGCCCACTGTTTTTTTTTTTCTCCTGTTTAAACTCATGTCACTAAGAACATCATTTAAGCACGTCCCTTCCCATTGCTATGGCATTCCTTCCCACCTTGAAAAGCATTCAGTGCTTTATTTCGTTGCCTTCCCTCAAACCAAGCTTTTCTGTTACGCTGTTCTTGTCTATCCTCCCCTCACTTTCAAGGTAAACTGTATTAAATTATCCGCTTCTCCCATTAACACTTTTTTTGGGGGGGGAGCAGTAAGTTACTTGGCAGAAGAACCACAACCTTCCTCTTCATCTGTCACATCACAACAGGTCCTCAACAGAATAAGGCAGATTCACGGATTTAATTAATATTAAAAAAAAAAAAAAATAAAGAAGGGAAGAAAGGAAGTGCACTGTGAAGAGCACGTTACCCTGGACCCGTGGGAGCCTTTGGCAATGGCCACAGCTCCTCGGCGGGCACGGCCAAAGGCACCAGACAGAGCCCCCAAGCGCACGCGCAAGCGCCACTGAGAGCGGCCAGTTCCCATTTATTTGAGACCTCGGAGGTGGGAGAGCTGGTGCCCTGCCCGTCACTCCAGTTGCACCCACGGGCCCCTCGGACACGAAGCTCCCTGCCCCTCCGCGGCTCTCGCGACGCACGGACAGCACGAGCAAAACCACCAAGAGCAAAAGCACCCCGAGCTCAATGCACAGAGCCGCAAAAGCGCCGCTGAGCCTCCCTTTTCCCACCACACTCCTTTGCCTAAAGCATCTCCTGGCTGTAAGAGAGAAGGCTTCCCCATATATACATACATATATATATGTACACACCACAAGCTCACAACTGGTTCAACTTGAGTAAGGGCGAGACTTAGAGGGAAGCTTCAAGACAGGATGAAGTCTAGGCTTGTATTAAAAAAAATCCCTACTTGAGAATAAATATTATTCCAGCATGATAAATGATGTAGCTCCAATCACCACCAGCATACCCACATTCCACAGTGTTCTTTTGTCTCCCTCTACCCAACGGTAATACACACATTGTCATGGGTTGTTAAACACAGTTTACCCACGCAGCAGTTCCAGAGGGTAATCAATACAGCCCACCCTTCCTCACACGACAAACAAGCACCTTCAAGTACCTCTGTGCACTGCGACGGGAGGAACAAAATTTCTAATAAGGCAAAACCACCGCGGCGCTTCGTCTCACAGCACGGCCAGAGCTGCACGTTGGTGCATCTCCAACGGGATATCTTGGAAAGAAGTTACAGGCGACCTTACCTCTCATCCTCGCCGTCGACAAGGTGCGTTGTCAACGGCAGTACCTTCAGGGGAAACAGGGAAGCGGAGGAGGGCACGTTGCTCCCGCTGCCCTCCGACACGGCCGCTGCTCCCACACCGCTGTCGCCGCCAGCTGCTTGAGGTAACCCAACCAAGGAAGGCTCCGCAGGACGTCGGCCATCTTCCATCTGGCTCCCAATGGACTGGGCTCCCGGCGGCGCTGGGAACTGGGCCGAGGCGAGCGGGAGCTGCTGCGGCATGCTGGGCGCCACCGGCACCCCGATGCCCGTGGAGAGCAAGGCAGGCTGGCTGACGCCTTGAGCCAGGCCGCCGTTCTGCACGGCCGGCGCCTGCGCCATGCTCTGCGCCGGGCCCAGGCCTATGGAAGCAGAGGGAATGCCGGGAGGCACGGCAGGGCTCGCCTGGCTCGGTGCAGCAACGGCGCCAGCGGAGGGTATGGGGCTAACGGCGGGCAGCTGCTGGCCGGGCATTCCTTGGACTACGGACTCCACTGCTTGGGCCTGCGGCTGAACGGGCAGCAAAGTGTTCTGTTGAGCAATGACCATTTGCTGGGGCAGGCCCGAGGTGCCAGCCTGCAATCCCTGCTGCATGATTCCTGCCTGCACAGGCTGCACCACTTGGGAAGGCGGAGGAGCAGCCGCCGGCGGCGGCGGCATCACGGGCGCTGCCATCTGGCCGGCGGCGGCAGGCGGCTGCACCACGGCGGCCACGCTGCCTTGCTGCCCCACGGCGAGCAGGGGGGCACCGGCGGGCACCGCGTGCGCCACGGCGGGCACCGGGGCAGCAGCACCGTGCGCCGGTCCCGAGGGCTGCATGGCGGGCGCCTGCGCCAGGGGCACCGGGGCGCCCGCCGCCACCACGGGCGCCTGCAGGAGCTGCGGGTGCTGCATGTAGTCGGGCAAGGCCCCCGGCACGGAGTTCTGGGTGGCCGCCTTCACGTGGCCCGCGGGCATCTGCGCGGGAACCGCTTGCTGCGGCGGCGGCTGTTGCTGCTGCTGTTGTCCGTACTGCAACGGCGGCGGCTGTACAACCGGCAGGGCCTGCGCCGGCTGCGAGTACGGGAGCTGCTGCTGCTGCGCCATGCTCGCCATGGCGGGCTGCTGGTGGCCCAGGGACGGGGAAACTCCCAGGATGTTCACCGGGGCTGGCTGAACCCCAGCCACGGTGGTTAGACTGGCCTGGGCAGGAGGCTGGACCCCTGGCTTCTGCTGCGGGTAGCTGACTTCTTGCGAATGCAGCGGCACTTGTGCAAGCTGCGGTTGGGAAACGCTCTGCGGCAAGCTGGATGCTGGAATCGCCGGAGGAGCCGCGCCGCCAAACTCCATCTGCTGCGGACCCACACCTTGGAACGCTTGCTGCGGCACCACGGTAGGTGCTCCCATTTCTCCGCTTCCCACACTTTCTGTATAGTGACTCAGTGTGCTTACATTGCTGCTAACTGAACTCCCACTGGTGCTCTCCCTTTCAGAAGTCACTTCAAGCGGGTTTTGTTTTATCGTCTCTACTGCTTTGTTTACTGCTACTCCTTCTGTAACTGCAACAGTGTTTTCTTTATCATAGAACTCAGTGCATGTCCATCTACCTTTCTTGAAAGGTTCAGAACTAGAGTCTAGTTTCACAACTCTAAACCTGGACGTGCCAGCTGCGGGCTGCTGCTGGCTCGCTCCCACCGCCATTCCTGCAGCTGGATTAGTAACATTGTTAATGACATTAGAGGAAGCACTCGTACCATTGCCAACACCACTCAAGATATTCACATTAACATTGCCGCTAGTTCCAGACAAAGCATTTACATTACCAGTACTCGGGATGTTACTTAGATTTATAGTACCAAGCATGCTGCTCGCCACACTAGAACTACCAGCACTCATATTATTTAAGGTACTAGTTCCAGCAGCAGGACTTACACCTAAATTGCCAGGAGTACTTGTAGTGCGGATATTAGACATGACAGATGCAGGGGACCCAGTGGATGATGCAGCAGAAACCGGTGCCGTTGATATAACATTGTCAGAGCTTCCAGTTGTGGAGAGTTTCCTAAATGAGGGGCTGGGGGGAGGTCCTCCGGAAACGGGGGCACTGCCCACCCCGGGATGCGATGGATGATGGTGTCCGTGATGGTGGTGGTGAAGATGGTGGTGGTGGTGGACGTGATGGGGGTGAACGTTCCCGTTGATCACCACGCTCTGCTGCGGGTGATGTGGCAGAGGAGGGTGCTGCTGGGGAAGGTGAGGCTGGTTCGGAGAAACAGCCCCGGGAGTCTCTGCCTCTTGGAAGTTATTTAAAGTCTCTTCAGAGGAGCTGCGCTCCGGCTCTCCCAAGTCAGTGGCCCTGGACAACGAAACGTCCAGTATTTCTGAGGAGGACAGGTCTTCGGTGTGGGACTCGTCCAGGTCATCGTAGCTCTCGGTGTCCTCGGCGATGCTGTTGTTGGAGCTCATGCTGGCCGATATCTGCGCGGGGGTCACGCTGGTGATCTGGAAGCCACTTTTCTTCTTCATCTGCGCGCCGGCCTGCGCCAGCGGCTGCGGCGGCTGCGGGAGCAGGTTCAGGCTCTGTGGCGGCGGGGGGGGCGCCGCCGCGGCGGCCGCGGGCGGCGGCGGCTGCGCCAGCAGGGCCGGCGGGTACTCCTCGGCGGCCGCGGCCGTACCTGGCGCGCCGGGAGCGCCGCCGCCGCCGCCGCTGCTGCTGCCCCTCCGAGGGAACATCGCCGGGTGCGCCATCTTCGCGGCGCTGGCGTCTGCGGCTGACTCAGGCTGGTGCATTGTGGCGGGCGCGTCCGGAGCGCGGCACGGGCGCGGGAACGGCAGCGGGAGCGGCAGCGGGCGGACACACGCACAGAGACACACACAGAGCGCTCCGTTAGCCGGGGCAGCGCGGCCGGGCGGCCCCCGCGCCCGCCCCGCCGCTCACCCCATCCCCGCACGCTCCCCTTTTATTTAAAAACAACCAAAACGAGAGGCGAGCGGGGGGTTTTCACCCGCCCCCCGCGGAGGAAACGCGCGGCTCGGCGGCAGCGCCGCGGCCCGAGCCCCTTCCTCCCCGCCCGCGCCGCGCGGCCCCCGGCCCCGCTCCCCCCCGGCCCCGCGGGACGGCGCAGATACGTACGGGAGCGGCGCGGGGCAGCGCGGCGGCGGGCTGGGCCGGGCGGGCGCATCGCCCTCACTGGCAGCCATGGAGCTGAATCATTTTGGGCACCCGCGGCACGGCGTGAGGAGCGGCGCGGCGGGCCCCGCCGCCGAGCCCGGCCCAGGCGGAGGCGGCGGGGACGCGGCGCTGCCGACGAGGCTCCGCTCCGCTCCGCACGCTCTCCCCTCCGCCGCCGCCTCCCCCTTTATAACAGGCGGCACCGGCTCTCCCTCGGCGGCGGCTCCGCGCCGGGGCCGAGCCCTCCGCCGCGCCTGCCCCTTCCTTTCTTCCCTCCCTCCTTCCTTCCTCCCTTCCTTCCTCCCTGCCCCCGGGGCTGTGCCCGGCCCCGCTGCCACGGCGGCTCGCGGTGTCTCCCCGCCCGGCCCCGTCTCCTCACACGGCGCGGCGGGCAGGGAGGGAGGGGAGGGCGGCGGAGCGGAGCGGAGCGGAGCGCGGCGCGCGGGAGGGGAGGGGAGCGCCGCGCCGCGGAGGGGAGGGGAGGGCGCTGCGCGCGCCCGCGGGGGGAGGGGAGGCGCTCGCCACAGGGGAGGGAGGAGAGCAGGGAGGGAGGGAGGGAGGCCGGGCGAGAGACAACGTAAGATGGCGGCGGCCGCGCATGCGCGCCCGCCGCCCGGCACGCATAAAGCCCGTCTGGACGCGGCCGGCGGAAATCGGCTCGGCTCGGGCGGCGGCGGAAATTGCCGAGCGGCGCCGAGCCGCGGGGAGGGGGCGGCGGCGGCGGCGGAGGATCATCCCCCCTCCGTGGCGTGGGGAGGGGAAGGGGGGATGGCGGCCCTACCCGGCGGGGCCGCAGCGTGACTCTGCCTCACATGACCCGCCGCCGCCTCCCTTCCCCCTGCAGATTTATTCAAGTTATTCATCGCCTCCTCCCTCGGTCCAGAATATTCCCGCCCCCTCCCCCCCGCCATCCTCCTCCTCTTCCCCCACGGAAGGGGGAAGCCGGCGGCGCCCGCCCGCGGGCTGCGCCTCCCTTTGTGTCGCCGTGCGGCTCCCGCCCCCCGCCCGCAAATGGCCGCCCGAGGGGGGCACCGCCATGGCGGCAGGCGCCGGAGCCCCGCGCAACAAGCGCGACCGCCGAGCGGGGCGGCCGCGGCTTCGTGCGCAGCCCGGGGGCTCCCGTGGGCGCTGAGGCGGCTGGGATGGGGGCTGGAGCGAAAGTGCCTTGAAGCCCCTTTGGGAAACGCTGGAGTTGCTAAAGGAGGGGAGGTCATGTTCCCTGGTGCCCCCTCACCACATCGGCATCCCATGAGGAAAGAAGGAGCTCCTGGTCCTGCCTGGAGTCCGGTGGCAGAGCTCCACACGGCCCGGAGCTGCTGTCCGGCCACCTCGGTGCCCACTCGCTGCCTGGTCCAAAACGTAGACTCCCCCGATGACTCCTTGGCCACCATCTCACCTCTGAGGGCACCAGGTCTTTCCGTGGGTGCCGGAAGATGTTCCTAAGCATCTGCCTGTCTCATTTATCTCCCACAGAGATGTCCGAGGCTGGCGAATGCCAAGCAGGGAGGCATCTCGTTGCCACATAAGTCCAACTGAAATTCCTGCTATTGCCATTGATCCACCCCCTTGCCTGCAGAACCCCATCAAGGAGCTTTTATAGAGCCCACCAAATGCTGTGTCCTATTCCCCCACCAAAACAGAGAAAGGTTTCCACCCTCTCCCCATTTTCTCGATTTCTAGTAGGTAGGATGTTCACCTCCATCAGGAGAACAGAGCTTCGTGTTTCCCATCTTCAAGGAGCACATCCAGCACTTGACTTCCACAAGCTGGAGAAGAGATGTCTCAATCACTCCTTTGAAATTATGCCAGTTTGCATCGAATAATTAAATGTTCACAGGACTTGAGAGCAGCCAGCTCAATACCCTGGTATTTCTATAAGCTGGTTATGAAACCTGCTGGTTAGGGCAGTCAACAGGACAAGGGGAGAAGGTCCCGAGCTTGGCGTTTACTGCAGTGAATACTTAAGTATGTCATGAGGAGTGGTAGAGCTCCAAGGGGAGACATTGTGAGAATCCAACCTATTATATCATATAGCTGAGTCATTAGAGAGTTCTTCTGGGAGATGTAAATTCTAGTTCCTCCAGGCAGAAAGGAGATTTGAGGCTCCTGTATTCAGTGTGTGGGGTTTAATTATTGAGACTCTGGAAAAGCTGTTTTACTAGCTCCATTTTGTGAAAAGGGAGAAGATTCAAGGTCACATGCAGATGGGGCTTTTCCTGCTTGATCCTGGTACAGAAGATCCGAATTTCACCCCTTCATCTTGCCTTTTCCTGCTAGCTAGCTCATCTAGCTCGCCGTTCAGTGTGAAGTCACATGTGGCTTTGAAAAATCCCACCTTTTGCAGCCTAATTCCTTTTATATCTGGAATGCAGGCATTCAGCTTAGATCTCTAGGTAGATTTGCAATCTTGGTCCTTTCACGACTCTAGCACACTGTCTATATGCAGTCTAGGGTATATATGTCTATGTACACTAGGAAACAGCACATAGTTAATCGGGATTCTCCCTTGTAAGAGAATATATTTTTTCTCCCTCTTTTTTTTTTTTTTTTTTTTAAACTGGTAATCAACCAGATCTTACAACTAACATCCTGGGGTGCCTGTTGGGTCGGTGCAAGACACAACTGCATGAATTCCCTACCAGCAGAACCCGTCCGGAGCTCCCTGTGGGAAGGAGGGTGTCTCCCCATAACCCCCACGGATTTCGGCGGAGCATCACATCGTGTTCTGTCTGCACGAAGCACGTTGCGACACTGAGGCCTTATACGTGTGCTTAATGAGATACTCATATGCTGAAAGTTAAACGTGTGTAAACATTTTTGGGATGAGAGCCCAAGGTTGCAAGCCAGCTGCCATTATGAATTCCTATCCTGACTGCTTATAACTTTCCCAGAACAGTTTCCTTGAGGAATTAGGTCTTCTATGATTAGTCCCAGCTCAGAGATGATTTTTCTGAATGCTTGAACAAAGTCCAACTACTTTTAAAACACATTGTGGATGAATACGATTAAATCTTTTATTTTAACCTTAAAAGTCTGTGCTTAAGTGGCTCAAAAAGGTTTCAACTTAAAAGCTTGTATGCAACTACATCAATAGACTTGAAGAATTAAAATAGTAGTGTTATAACTGGTTAAACATTTACGCCTGCACATGCTTACTGAATAACTTCCATTCATTTTTAAATGTGGGTAGTTACCTGCTCCTCTGTTGGGCTAATAAACTTGCTAGAACAACATGTGAAGCAGATCTTTAAATTGGCTCCACATAGTTCTGCTCCTACATAACAGCAACTGCAGTTAAGCACTCCAAGGACAGTCTAGCCTAGACAAAGCACTTCTGAAGTAGTCCAATTGAAATAGTTGTACATGTTTCTTATAAAGGTTGATGACATGATGTATGTCATTTTTCCTCACCTTTTTTATCAAATATAAACCTACATTTTTTGTGTGTTCTAATATGAGAATGAAAGTGAGATTCTCAAATTTAAGATTTTAATTCCTTTTCCTATCAAAAAAAAAAGAACATTTCGTTAAAACAATTGAAATTCACAACTTACTTGCTATAAGTTGCATTACTTAGTTCTTCAAAGTGGGAAAATGAATTCAGGTAAATAATTCCTTCAAAAAAATAGCTAATATTTCAAAATTCAGCAGCAGCAAAAATGACAGTGCTTGATTATGGGTTGTTGACCTGTGAGATTACTCCATAGTTATTTCAAACAAGCCCATCTGCTTTTTTTTTTTTTTTTTTTTTTTAATGAACTGTGTCAATTAAGTAGCTGGAGCCAAAGGTGCCCCTGTCATCGCATGTTGCATCCAGCACCTTGTTACAGAATCACAGAAGGCTTGGGGTTGGAAGGGATCTCTGGAGATCATCTAGTCCAAGACAGTCTATCCAGATCCAAGAGATCATCCAGTGTAGTGTTTGGAAGACCTTTGGTTTAACCATGCAATCTTACAATTTAGGTTAGTGCAAGAGAACATGACACAGTCCACATATTTTGAGACCTCTCTCCCATATATGTAGTATTTCTCCAGACAGGAAACAACAAGCTCATTGCCACCAGATATTCTGCAAAGATACCAGAAAAAGCAATATTCTAGTTTTCTACTTCTCAGGCACCTTTGCTTTGGGACACAGCCCTGTGCATTCATCCTGGTTTATGCAATAGTTTGTGCTTGTACGGAGTAATTATAAAACCAACAGGAATACTATGGGTTTTTTACTCAAGACAAACTCAGAGTCTTGGCAAATCAACCTGAGGTTGATTTTGTGTGTGTGTTTTAAGCCCTGTGTGACTGCTTCATAAATAATTTTTCAAACTAATGAAAAGTGACATTTTTATGTTACGAAGCTGCCACTGTTACTTCAGACAGAATGCTTTTCTGTGTTTATTAATATTGCTGACTGTAGTTCCTGAGCTGATTTGCAAAGGTGTGGGCAATTATTTTTCTTTTTCCTTAGAGAAGTACTTGTAAAAAAAGTTCTCATCTTTCAGCTCTGAAAAAGCTGTAATTCTGCTTCTATATTTTCCTAGAAAGTTCAAGTCAAGTCTTGATCTTCCTTTCTTGTTTTGTTTTCAGTTGGCTGGTTGGTTGGTTGATTGGGTTTACTGACTGATTCCAAAACGCCTACTGAGACATTTTTCTGTCCTTATTTTAATGCTTATGAGGTGATGTTGAACCTTGTGGAGAGGGAAGTGTTCGCACAAGCTCCTATTAAATAAATGCTCACAGAAATTGACAATCCGAATGTATATGTTTTTTTAAAGTCAGCTTCTTTCAGTTATTCAGATCTCCAGTGACAGTGTCTTCTTAAAGTCTTGCGCTTCTAGGTCATCTGGAAAAGTCATCTTAAAATATTCCTTATTTCTCTATCCCTGCACTTGGGGAATGTGGCCAAACAGAGTACTTTTCATGAAAATTGTATTCAAATACAGATTTTATGAAAGACTTCTAGAAGCTTCATTTTATTGTTAGTTTTTTGTCCCCATAGACTCTAGGCATATAGACTACATGCATGGCACTCAACTACCAGCCCAACGGTTAAAGCAAGTCCTCTCCCATCCCATGACTAATGTATTATCAAGCAAACAAACTCCATAATTTTATCACTGTTATCATCTACCTCTTCTTTACTTCTCCATTTTCACTTACATTTGTAGTCAACCGATGAGATTGCATCTTATACAAGAGCCAAGTTCTGGAAAGTCTTTCTCAGATACTTCAACCTACCACTGTAATGGATGCGCTTCAGCTCTAGCCTGAGATCATTTATTTAATTAGATGTTTGTACAATACAGGTCTTAGATTGTTAACTGTTTGATCTTTTATTAGTTAGCCAAGTGGTATATATATAATTAAACTGAAGATCAAATAAAATAGATGATCAAATCATTGAAAAATGGTCTGAACTCTTAATAGACTCTCCCCTTTTAATCTCTGGAAAACCTATGAGCAAATTGGGAAGTCAACCAGCTTTTTAGATTAGTCTAAGTTTTTATGAATTAGTCATAGACATTTGCACAGGGGGACTTAATAGTGTTGGAAATCTGAGCTGTTTTAGCTTGCTGTTCTCAGTCACGAAGATTGTGTGGCATTGTTTTCTTTTCACTGATCCCAACCCTGATAGAGGGAAGCACTTAGGAAAATGCTTCATTTAAGAATGTGCTTTGCTGCTGTTGACTGCAGAGTGGTAATTTTGTGATGTCTAAAAGATCTGCAATTTATGTATGATTTTCTTGAACGATCATGGGTGACTGTGTCCTTTGTAATGAGGAGGAAATCTAATAATCTCAGGCTAGGAATAAATAAAGGGAATTTGAGGTATTTTTTTTTCCTCCGAACCACCAGGCTTGTTCAATGCAAAATTCTTTAGAAAAGCAAAGTGTGTAACTAGCTGCTATTGAGCACAACCACATATTTTTTGTCATTATATTATCACACAGTAAACGGGCTCCATATAGGCTATCCTAGCTATGCAGGGTACAGAGGAACCCTCCTTGAATTCCTTTAATTGTCTGAATCTTGTGTGTCTTCTTTCGGTCTCCTTTTCCACTGTGTCAACAGTATTTCTGCCCACTTAAAACATATTCTTTGGAAGCAAATATTTGTGCAAATCTAAAAATTTCTATTGGACAGTACTTGAGCAAACTTAAACTTTGCTTTATATATGCCGTGGTCGCAGTATAACTGAACTGAAAGCAAGCACAGACTGGTCAGGAGCACATCAGAAACAAACACAGTTTACGAGTAGTCAGTTGACGTGCTTTCCCATAGTCACAATAATAGGGATTACTTATATTGCATCCCTAATAAAGGACGTGCAAACCATTTGCAGTAATAGCAAAGCTATTTAATTCCTTCACTTATATGAGTTCCTTGGTTTGTTTGCCTAATTTGTAGTTACTCAGGCATCTTCTTTTTGAATTTCTTTAGCACTAGAAAGTGGAATTAATGTCCTTTTGACAGAATACAGTGGAAAGTAGGCTTGAGATTTCCACTTCAAGCACAAGAGAAAAATGCCTGTGTCAATTTTGGTAGAGTAAAAGATGTGTAAAGTCCTGACAGTTCAAACAAGCAGTCATAGGCTTAACTGCAGTCATGTGAATAGTTCCTTTGACTGTCAACTTTTAGTCACTAGACCCCAAAGAGCTTAACATTCAACATGTGTAAATATTTGCGGGCTCAAAAAGATGAGGTATGTGCTAAGGTGCAGTCGTATGTAGCCTCAGGATGATGTTGAACTTTAGTTGGTAACAGCGTTAAGTCCTTTTCACTGAGAAAGTGGTATTATTTAATATACCTCCAGACCAGGACTTCTCCAATATCTTTTTTAAGAAGTGCTAGCACATACATGAGCTTTCAATCGTAGCTTAAAGACCATCCCTGCAATATTTTACCAGTTCAAGATCAAGTCACACGGTCTAATGCCCAGTTTTTCTCACTCATTAAGTTATTTTAGCTGTTGTTAGTAAGGGGCCATGTATGAAGAGGTCATCAAACAAAAAGGTGTGTTTCCATTGATCAGAATCTGCTTTATTTCTGCTCAGTTTTAACACCTTTATTAGCAGTTCAGTGTGGAAGCCCTGATGAACCTTAAAACCCAACAGAACAGCCCTTGCCACATCTCTCCGCAATGTGAATTCTCAGCCTCATTCTCTAAGAGTCAGTTGTCTCCTTTAAACCATCCGTAGGAACCAAGAGACAGACATGGTCATCAGTAAGTGCTAAGTCTAGCTCAGCTACGTCCAGAGCACTTGTTCTCCGACTGACGTCTGTCTTCTGAGCTGCTAGTGAGGGTGAGTGGAGGAGAAGACCTCACCAGGAGGCTTCAACAGCTGCCCACTGGCAGGAGATGACCCTTTTTTTACAGAATCACATGATGGTTGAGGTTGGAAGGGACCTCTAGAGATCATCTAGTCCAACCCCCTGCTCCAGCAGGGACACCCAGAGCACGGGGCACAGGGCGGCATCCAGGCGGGTTTGGGAGATCTCCAGAGAAGGAGACTCCGCAGCCTCCCTGGGCAGCCTGTGCCAGGGCTCTGTCACCCTCACAGGAAAGAAGTTCCTCCTCACATGGAGATGGAACTGCCTGTGTTGCAGCTTGCACCCGTTGCCCCTTGTCCTGTCACTGGCCACCACCGAGAAGAGCTTGGCCCCATCTTCTTTACTTGGTGCAGAGTAAAGGAAGTGCACAGGGTGAAATGAAGTGTGCAGACACTAAGATGAGAGGTGTTGTGGAAAGCAGGCTGGTCCAGGAAATAACGCAGGGGGACTGAATATTTCCAGAAAGAAGCAGAGTTGCTTTGTTCACACATATATTAAATAGGACATTAGATTTGACTTTGGAGTAGAAAACGGATGCAAAATAGCATTTTTTTTTTTGTGTCATATATGAAGATGTTCTGCTGCCAAGCTCTGTTGCGAGTTTATCTAGAAATGGTCATAATTTCTGGACACAGTGTTACCAGAAGTGTACTGGAAAACCAGAAATAGTCCAGGGAAATGCAACCAAAGTGATACTGGAGAAGGCTGCAGGTTCAGTGCATGGACAATGCGTCTTTGTTTTGCATGTGTCTGCAGGTCAAGGCATCAAACCTCAAGAAATCTCTGACCACTGAAAGACGCAAGGAGATATTTCTGATCCATATTCAGCTCCCACCAAATGAAGTACCTGAATTAGGAGTGTGATTGTGCTGAAATTGCTGGGAGCGAAGAGGAACCTTCACCTACAACCTTTACAGAAGGTCAGTCACAGGGAAGCTCAAACTGGGACGGGATAAAATACTTAAAAATTGCCTGCTGAAAATAATCCTGTATTGACCAGGAGAGGGTTCATATCATCTATAAGATTATTCCTGCCATTAATATAAACAACACTCTTATCTGAGAAAGTACAATAAGCTATAATTTAATTTAAGTCTCTACATGATACCGGGATTACAGTGACAGGTGATTATCCGGCACAGGAAGGAATATGGATTCTGTTCCCTGCATACATGTGTATCTAGAGCAATGCACTTGCTGACCGGAGCTCCGTGGTGCTTTCAGGGTCTGCTCATCCACACCGCTGCGTCCTGCTGCTGTCAGGTCCCTGCATCCAGGAGCCCCTTCCCCGTTTTGTCACCTTCACTCACACCAACCGGGGCAGCTCGCAACAGTCGGCGTGAACCTGACGTCCGGACCAGCCCTGGTGGGTGGATGAGGGCAGATCCACAGGCTGAGCCCCGGCCTGGTGACATGGAGCTGCTGCCTTGCGAGGCAGGGCTGCTTCGTGATGGCTCTGAAACCTCCAAGAGAGCAAACCTGCATTCTGCAAACCACCCCCATTGTTCCGCCTATAGCTGGTGTCCTAACATACCTTTAGCCTGTCATATAAATTATTGACCATGTTCCTGAACACACTAAAATAAATCCATCGCTGTGCTGATTCTGTTTTTTTTTTTCCTTCGTCTTCTAACCTACTTTTTACTTGTTTTTTCTTTTTTTTTTCTTTTTAACTCTTTTCTTCCTTTCTGACCATATTATTTTCGTTCTCCATAAAACTTCTCCTTAGCTTAGGCTCTAGCCCATCCATTCCCAGCTGCCACCACCACTCTCAAAATGCTGGTTTCAGCCTTCCAGTTCGACCAGCTTCTTCTCGCATAGGGTCACAGAGAGGTTATGCTGCCTCTCGGCTTCTCTGCTAATCCTCTGAGGCCTAGAAACAGGTTTTTCTAGCAGAATAAATAGCTCTGCTGAGCCATTACACCAGTTACAAAGTGTTAAATAGCTGATTTCAGTGTTTTTTTTTAGACAATGATGGGTGAATACTGCGTTTGGTTTCTTTTTTTAGCCTGCTTTCCTAAGGAAACAAAGCTTACACAACCGCGCTGCCTGGCTGTCCATCTGCTTGTCTGTCAGTCCCTTTAATAACTTTAAACCTGGTGGCTGGTTTCAGGCTGGAATAGAGATCTCAAAGATAGGAAGGTCATAAAGTTCATGCAGTTTCATAGCTGGGTAGAGGACAAAGTCCTGACACGCTGCTGTCCCTGAGGAATGGGCATCCGCTCGGCCATGTGGGACCCGTCCTACCCCAGGAGCAAAGAAGCTGAAGACGGAGGGTGCCCTGGTGAGGGGAAGGCAGCCAACAAGGTGGGATGGAGCCTGTTACGTAGCAAGGGATGTGGGGCATGAACCTGTAGGAAACCAAGCTCCGTTCAAGCTGCTTTGCTCAGAACAAGTAGTGTCTTTGTGGCAAAAATAAAGGAAAGCAAAACCAGTTTCCTTCAAAAGTATCTTTCTCTCTCTTCTTGGAAAGAGTATGCATGTAATACACTCACAGTGTGCACGTGGATTCATTTTTCTTTTTTTTTTTCGGTAAGTGGTGCCTTAATCTTGGATTTGGGTCACTAGGTGCCTCTGAAATACAAACACTGGATGTTAATAATACTGCAGCAGGAGTGTTAGACTCCATCCCTAAGTACCCAGGAGATAGACTCTCCTGCATGCAATTCACAGAGTTCTCCCAGGCCTTCAAATTCCCACCTCCTCGGGGTCTTCTGCTCAGCACTGATACAGTTTTAAGCTGTTTATTCTTGCGGCAGGCTGGTCTGCAGATATCCCCTACCCAGATAGTCAGTTTGTGCCCTCTGTTTCTGTTTGTGCTGTGGAAGATGAGACTTTACAGCTGCCAACGAGCAGACTTCACACGCCAGCTAAGATTTTAACATCTTCAGGCTTCAGCCCTGGAGGTCGTGGACTGAACTCCCAGTCATGCCCGCAGCAGCAAATATGATAAATCATCTGATTCACATGCTAGGCGATGAAGAGACACGTAATTATAATGTCTGAAATACCAGTCGTGGTGGTAGCTAATACAAACAAACTAGGGAACAAAATATGAACAGCTAAACGAATGCTAAAAAAAAAAAAAAAAACACATGCATCTGGCATCCAGGGCTGGAAGTTGCTATATTATATCTGAAATGGGTTGCTTGTGGGAGTGAATTCTAAATAAGGTGCCATCAGCTAAACAAGCCATGCTGTGAGCAGCAGATTTAATGAGGCCTCTTTCCTGGGGATTTGTGCTTCGTGATTGGGTTCTCCGGTGTCTCATACAGGGTATCAACCTTGATCCAGACTTTCCTGTGGATGGGGCATTCCTAACACCTCCTCCGTGGAGATCCTCTGTCAGTGCCTGTACTTGTGAGTTAAACAGTCCCCGGGTACATTTCTGGCCGCTGTAATTCACTTAACAGTGCTCTCAGATCCTCCAAATGGCTCTTGGCGAAGTACTGGCCGGTGCCCACGGGGAGTTTCCCACGGGATCCTGAGCATAGTCGGAGCGAGCACAGGCCAAGGCCATTTCCAACAGATAGTTCTCACTTGGCAGCTCTGTTTTGGAGGGCTCCGTAACCAATCAGCTCAGGTGTTTTGATGGGGTTTAAGATAGGTGGTACTTTCTCAAGGAGCCTGGTACTTTGGGGCTTTAAATTTCATTAGACCCCTTGAGTTGCTTCAACAGAACTGAGTCTGAAGAGGAAAAAAAGCCAGAGAAAGCTGAACATGTCCCTTTCAACACATTTTACTTTTGATAACACTATGTAGTGAGCAGTCTGCACTGCTGGGGGCATGTGCAGCTGTACCTGGGCTACCCTTGAATCAGCTTGGGTGCTGCTAGCATCATAGTGACCTGAAGCTTTCTTGCTATCATCATAGTGACCTTCAGGTTTCGTCGTTGTTTATCCTGCCCTGAACTGAAGCTAATGGTTTTAACACTTAGCAAAATGCAAGCTGGCTAGTGTAAAATCAGCTCAAGGGTACCATAATGTGTCCAAATAGCCTGCTCCAAAACAGTGCTGCTCAAAAGCCTGCGCTGTTGTTGCTGTCCATTTCCAGTGTATAATACCCTCCTTGTCTTCTGAAGTTGTAAAGAAAACCTTGAAAATAGGAGTTGCCATAAACTCTCACAGCAAATCTTCCTGAGTCTGCAGGCACCTGAACCAGAAGTTTCAACCAGCAGGAAAATAGCTTGTACCTTCTGCAGAGCAAAAGTCTGAATCCTCAAGACAACTTCAGTCAACAATCTTGGCTGATTCATAGCTGGTCTCTTTAGTAGACACGGGGAGTTTGTGCTCGCAGTCCAAACCTGCTTCCTACACATCCCTGACATGCCATCCCTCCTTCCACCCACCTCCCCCGTGTCTGGTCATGCAGTTGGTGATACGTTACCAGTTGGAGGTGATTTATTTATCGTGCACCGAGGGCAGGGAGAACACATGGACGTGCTGATTTTTCGCCTGCCCTCAGAGCAATTTCCAAGCAATCTGTTGTGAAGCAAGGAAAGATCCCTCATGAGTTCTGTGAGGACTGAAGATTCCTCGTGATTGGGATTGTAATTATAAATGTTATTAAAAAAAAAAAAACTATCAGGAAACAAGATCAAAGTGACAGACTTAAATGTAGGACAGGACAGCTAGCAAGGGTACAAGACAATATGGGCTGTCAAGACTGTATTCCGGGCTGTCAAGATTAAAGACAACTATTGCAATGCAAGGGCAGGCTAAAATCAGGGCCTTGCAACTACAGAAGAACCGAGAATAACCTAAACATTATAGTAGTCTGACTGCTCGAAATATCTCATTGACTGAGTGTTAATGCATCTGTGGGATTTTCAGGAGTATGCTTTGAGGGCAGCAGAAAATGGAATGGAGTTTAATCTGGAAGGAGACGAGAAAATAATGTCTTTCTCTGTTAGAATCAAAGCCAACGAGAATTTGGATGAATTCCATTACTTGGGACTGACTCAGCCTCTTTTTTTTTTTGAATTTAGTAGAGTGTCAACTGCAGATGCTAGCAGATGCCAACAAAGCCATCCATCAACACGCTGGGAGGAAAAAGCACAGGTGCTCCCCTGCCCCAGCTATTTATAGGGAAGGCTTGCAATCACATGGGATACAAATGCCCTGGTTGGGTATCTGTATTCCATAGCCCTAAATTTAATTCTTTGGCTGAAAACACAGCCGCAGATTTACATTTGGCTATCAATTGTAGCTGTTCAAGCAAAATTGGAAAAAAAAAAAAGAAAAAAAATAAAGAAAAAGTAAGGTATTAAATTGAACTAGAGAAGACTAAGAAGCAGACTTGGGAATCTTTGTAGAAAACCTACTAGCCTCAAAAAAAGATGTTGAGGTACTGAAGAATTTGCACAGTAGATTAGAAGAGCAAGCTTAATAATATTTTATGAGAAAGATACATCCAATTTTATTTACTTATTTATAGCGCAAAAATGCTATGGATATCCAGATACCTAGATAGCATTTGCATCAGCACATCTTTCACTGAACTTCCTACAAAATTTCTATTTGTCCTCCTGCTGTTTGAGGAAATCCCAGGTAAATTAATTTTCTCTAAGATGATCCGTGTCGCTGTGGGATTTTGGAAGTTCTTATCATTTGTTACTTCTTAAGGTTAAAAAATGCAATAAATAAGAGGAAGGTCTGGGATTAAATTAGAAACATTTGCATTCAGCCAAAAGAAGCATTTAGAGCTTTGCATAAGTATATGAGCATCCTCCTTCTGCTCACAACCTGTTTGCTATTGTCTCAGTTGCCATAATAATTGTTTTTGTATATTTTTAACTGCTTCTTTAAATTAAGTCAAAGCAGATTGCAAACCTAGCAACAAATAAAGCAATTTCACATTTCTATCTCTTTCAGGAGGCCGCTAAAGCTGGTACAACACACTGACCTACCTTGGCAAATGTTTCCACATGAGCCTTGCAGGACTTACAGCCTGTCTGTTCTGTTGTTATTTCTCTCTATATATATATTCTCTGAGCCACTAATTTCTTAGAAAGCCACATAATCATCTGTGACATTCCTGCTGGACAAAACAGTGCATATTTAGCAAAATATACCAGGCCACATTCTGTGTTCTTAAATATAAGGGGTTTGACTTATCTATATGCACTATCCTCCTTTTAGAATGCCTGCTCACCTAAAAAGTTAGTTGAAAAGACACCAAAAGGAAAGGGTGTGGGGAATAAATCCCAGGATATTCACAGTTTTGCAGGATTGCCAAACATCTTAGAGGCTGATGCAATAGCTGATCTAAAGAAATCATGTCCCAAAAAGGCATTTCTCTCTCCTGTGTGTGTGTGGAGAGAAGATCCTTTCAAAAGGGCACTTGAACAGCCCCGGGTAGCTAGTAAAGTGACTCAAACTACCAAATTTTGGTGGCAACGTATAACAGACAACATGTAATGTTGTGCTTTTTATTTCCTGCGTGCCCAGTAGCGAGAAGCCTTGCACAGAAAAGGGATGAGGCAAGTTGATGAGGTTTAGGGATGTCTCTACAGACTAGATTGCTCCTGCCACGGTGGTGCCTTGCAGCACTGTGCTGGCACCATGTCCCTTTTTAGGAATAATATTCTGTGACCATTCTG